TTTTTTTAAATACACGAAGTTCCAAAAAAATAAAATAAAAAATACACTGTTGTACATCTTTGAAATATCTACAACCCTTTTTTTTTTTTTTTTTTCTTTTTTTTCTTTTTTTCTTTTCGTTTTAGCCCTTAAAAAATCTATGTGAAATCCAAAACAAAAACACTCTTTTCATTTTCGTTTTTGTTTTTTTCATTGTGTTTATGTTTTTTATTTTAAAAAATAAATTTAAAAATAAAAAAATAAAAATAAAAATACAGGGTTGTAGTCCTCAACAAAACCTACAACCCCATATTTTTTGTGGAGGGATTGGATAATTTTTAGCCCATGAAAAAAATCATCCCGGACCTCGTTAATTCCCGTTCAACTCGCGTTTGAACGGGAGTTTAACGCGAATTCAATGCGCGTTGAATTTTTCAACGCGAAACCCGCGTTAAATCCAATTTCGGACACAGTACCCGGTAGTGAGGGTGTTCGAGATGTCGAGACGTTTCCCGGTGGGTGGATGTTCGTGGACACAGATTTTTGTGGTGTGTCCCTCTTCCTCAACCTCTTCCGTCTCCTTCTTCTTTTGCTTTTGGATCATGTCGTCCGCCTCGACGAAGATGGCTTTCCAGTAAGACAAAGCATCCTCCCTCTTGTTGACCTCCTTCTTCCTATATGTCTGCCACATGTGTCTATGCTGTTCGAGGACGTCCACAAATTTTTGGATACTGTCACGATCCATCCGAAAATCGTCTTTAACGACACGGGGAATAACACATGGTTCTGGAGGGGAGGTAGGGCCTGCATACTGGCCATCGACAACCGGGAACCAGTGAACTGGTCTGCCTTCCGGCATCCATTCCGCATCGGTACAATACTTCTTGTACACCATGACGGGACTGTCGTCACGCATGAGAAATTTGAAGAGGTGCGGTTTCGATACGCTGACGATGGTTCTATCGACGTATCGATCCACTACCCGGCGCCAATCGGCAATGTGATCGAGCTCAATGCACTTCGGCGGTATCTTGTGCGATGACTCGATAAGCGAGAACAACTGCTTCATGGTGTAAGCATCGTTGTCCTTTAGTTTTTTCGAGAAAACACTAAAAGTCGCATCTATGTCGGTATGCGTGTGGCCAACGAGCATGAACCCCACTTCGACATCTTCGAAAATCCCGAATTTCACCAGAAGAGAGGCCAAACACATAAGGTATTGGTTTTTGTTTTCCCTCCTGCCTGGATGCGGAGGTGGCGTGGCTATTTCTGTCCCGACGTCTGCAACTCACATAGACTCCGCATAACGCACGTGATGGTGCCATCGGAACCGTGCGCATAGAAAGACAAATACATGTACACATAAATGGACGGTTTCCTATCGTGAGCTACGACCGCGGTCAGGTTCGTTTTCATCATCATGTCGTGTCGATGATCCTTGGAGTAATTATACATGTCGATGTGAGGAATGGTTGTCTTTTTCTGATCCATTTCATCCAGGGGCGGATGAGCCGGAGATCTACCCTCACACCTTCTGGCTACAATCAGTCGAAACTGTGGAGGAAGTGAAGCCCCTCCTTCGCCAGATGCTTCGCTTATATATGAAGGACCGAGGGCGGGCCGTCCAAAAGTGGACTTCGACCCTCGGCGCCATATAAACCAAGGTGATTTTCTGATTGTTAGGCCGCCTGATGAGGAACTGTCTCAAGGTGTCCCGTTCTGGGTTGGCAGAGCACAGTCTGAGGTTGTGGACGACCGTTCCTCACTGCATTTCGGTTGTTTACGTATACAGTGGTGGGTGCCTACAGGTCACTCGTCCGATCTTCGCGAAAGGTGCTCCGGCGCTAGGACGAAGAGGTGAAAACTTTTCACTTCGGACGAGGAACAATGGCAACGCGCCGAAACCGTGGCTTATTCTTGGAGAAGACCTTTTCGCAAAGGGACGGATGAGAGCAAATGTGACAGGCCTTGCGATACCGACATCCGTTTGCGAGAAAGCGCTTGTGGC